CCATCACAATAGCGTAACAGGTTCATTTTAGTAAAAATATTGGAAAACAGAAGACACAACGAACATCACAAACCATAGTCACTCTTCTGATGAAAGTAGCACATGGTGATGATCAAACAAACATTATTATTAAAACAGTACTGACAGCAAAATCAGATATTAAAATGAAATTATCATTATTAGTTTCTTCAAACTATACAGCGATGGAATAAATGAAGTACCTGAACGATACTAAGAGTTTTTGGTAATTGTTTTGACATTTAATTGAAATCGTCATTTCAAAGTCGTCAAAAGGTTGCCCTTATGAGTAAGTTTCAAACCTGAAGTATGAAAATTACATCGCTCGTGTATGCTCTGCTGCAGACTTGCTTAATGCTGTTTTTATATAACCTTCTTTTAAACTGAAGGAAAGATTTTGGGCTATCATTTGTAATAGCCCTGAAGAAATCGTTAGAAACTTATTCATAAAGCTATATACCATCTGGACGGAGGATTAAGGCTATCAGACAAGACAGTATGATGATCTAAACAGTTTGATGGGTTACAGCTGGAAATGTGAATGAACGTCAAACACGTTGGATGATCAAAATTACAGAAATACGGTGCAACAGCGTTGCACAATCTTTCCATTCGTACGGCCGACCTTAAATGGAGGATGGCATTATTCGTTTTCGCTTCTACATTATAGCACATTTAATCGTAACACCCCTAATTGGCAACCTTGGAGGAACCGATAGAGCAAAAGGCTCATTGGCACAGAGAAGAAAGCTGTTGAAGGAAATGTTCCGCTCTCAACCATGGACAGTTTCAAAGTTTTAAAATAACTTAAGGCTGTTCACCACACTTAAAAACGATTGAAACTGTTCCGTGAAGCACGAATGTCAAATAGCAAAAGGAATCAAAATGAAATCAATTATTATTGGCGACTTTATGACGAAAGAATATATGAAAGATGGAGCCTCTGAAGATCTAACAAACGACAGAAAAGTGTGGAAGAGGTCAAGTCGATTAGCCGACCCCTGTTAAAGGGAGGATGCTAGAAAACAGAAGAGTATGATGAAGAAGTGCGAGATACAACGTTTATTCGAGTACCACTTCCATTTCAAATTCACGAAAGTGCTACTGGGCTGGCAAGAACGAGCCTTTCCTGTTCCATATGCTTAGAGAAGTCTTGTATGTGATTCTGAAGCTATGGGCTTTGTGAAAGGTTGATTAATTTCTAAATATCTTTGCACAGGATTAGGCAAAGACGTAATCGTATATTTTACGCGCAGTCAAGTTGGGCAATTCGAAGCCGTGACCGTTAGTGCTTTAGGGACATTAATTTCAAGGTGTAAAGTAAATAACTGGCATGCATACAGATGCTCAAGTACGTGATTTTAAAATGGCGAAAGACAGACGCATGAGCAAAGCGCGTTCATTTATATTGATTCAAATGGCATGCTTGATTTGATTGACTGATTGTTTAATGGATTTATTTGGTTTTCATTAACTTTGTTTTGTAACGAAAATCCTTTGGCAGTCATTTAAGCCAGAGTACAAGTGCGTTCCTCGTGATTCGCTCCGTTTTGCGATTCCTCACCTTACCTCTGCCAGTTATCCAGTTAGTGGAAACGAGAATGATACTCTACAAACCCTCTCCACTGTCACTGGAGGGAGGGCGAAGCAGCGGGTCAGAGATTTGTTTGGCTGTTCAGAGATGCTGGGATTAAATCGAATGTACGGCGTAAACATTTATTTCTAATTGTAAATTCTCTTCAGCAAGGCATTCGCCCCTTCCCCGTATATGGACAAAAGAGTAGGAAGCTACTGAGATGCGAACAGTGGGTATGACATGTCGTTGTCATACTGGAACTACGAAACTTATGACCATGATGTCTGATGCGATCACTTCTTAGAACAGCAATTCGCCTCGACCAAGCCAATCAACATACAAGGTTTAAACTCGATCCATTCTGCCCTCTGGGCATAACGAGACCCTCAATCGTCTTCGTTAATGGCTCTAATGCTGAGAAGCTCGTTGATGTCGAAAATACATTGACCATAATACTCTGGGTCACAAAGACAAATGGGCATTTTGAAAAAAAGTTATGTTAATTGAACGACTGCATTTTTTGTCCGTCTTTACAGAGCCAATTAACGACGTGTCGGCAAAGTTTTTGCCTCCATTATCTGACGGGGTTTCGGAACACTGACGATCATTGATTTTCATACTCATTCATTCGTTATCAGGTCCAATTGAGGGTGATTCACAACGGCGGCATCATCAACGCGAATTGCGTATCTCGTTCTCTCTCAGTCGGTGCCGTGACGACGGCGAGTTTTGCGCTCCGGCGGAGGTGCCTCTGAGGAACGGGTCTCATTAATTAACCCGGTAGAGTGGTTTAAAGCAGCAGGCTGCACATGAGAAGTAAACGATTCGTCGCCGGAGGCGCCTTAACATAGAACAAGGTAAGTCTGCTGTTTCAGCATCGTTGGCCATTGCCTAACCATAGTCATTCGAAAGATGCGACACCTCGCTCATCTAAGTCCTTTTCTAATTCGATGTTCATGCATAAAATGACGCTTATGTTCTAATCAGAGGGAGTGCAAGTATTCAGAAAACAAAGCGAGCAACGGCACTCGACAGTACTCGAGTGAGTGGCCTCTATTCTGAGGTCGATCGAGTAATTAGTCTCATTGACCTGATCGCATATTCACCATGCCACAGCGTGTTTCACTGTTAGTCGGTTCGAATTCTTTCGCCTGCTACTACACTTATCCGTCGATGCAACGGTATCTGCTAATCAGCCAGTCATTTGGTTCGCCACGTTTGCATTGTCTGTCTCCGGGATGAAGCTTTTGCCCCTTGGGTAGAAAATCTGCACAAGTATAGTAGAAAATGAGTTTCCCTTTATGTACATATGCCTAAATTTAGTCAGATTGGTAGCGTTTTCGGTTCTTCATTCGTTAGCACGCTTAGCAGTGTAAGCTGAGCGAGGAAACATGAGTGATTCCTAAAGGATTGTCTGATATCTTAGCCAGTTTTTATCGATTCAGTGTCAGGAGAAGGAGAAGAAGAAGAAGAAGGAGAAAAAGAAGAAGAAGAAGGAGAAGAAGAAGTAGAAGGAGAAGTGGAAAGGGAAGGAGAAGGAGAAGAAGAAGATGATGATGAAGATGAAGAAGAAGAACCTTTTATCGGTTCATTGTTGCACGTTGCTAGGAATTCAAGTCTTTTCACTCAAAAGCCAACGTTTCAACAGATGCGATGTGTGGCCCATGGCTCATCAATTGCAATACAATGGTGA